AGAAAAGGAAGAAACGGACGCGCACCACGGCTTGCCGAGGTCTTCGTTCTGCGGCCAGTTCTTCCAGGGTGGCGACGCGGGGGGCTCGGCGCGCGTCGAGCGTTTCCTACTCTTTTAACTCCCCCGAACAAGAATGAGCACGTGACTTTGTGTTTCACTAAGGATAAGTACGCGATGGCGCTGCGGAATAAGGAACTCCAGGAGGAGAAGGACGCTGACGGCGTGATATTCACGACGTGGAAGAAGAAGTCGGTGGAGCACACCAAAGAGGATGCGAGGCACATAGAGGAAGAAATGATGGAGGGATGAATGGGCAAATCGTTGCAGTTCCTGCCGTAGGCACTGCAATGTTGCAGGTATTCTGTCTGGCCCCAAATACAAACATATTGGCTGCAACATATACATAAATGTATTGTTGCATGGGTGTATTCACCAGGGCATATACATACACACGAATGAGTATACATCCACGTGCACGCACATGTGCGTTCATGCAGGCGCCATAACTTCGGTGACCACCACGATAAGATGGACCCGCGGCAAGCGCTTGAGTTCGAGAAGTCGGCAGTGAAGGAGCTCGGTTGGGGCAACGTAGTGATCGCGAAGCCGCAGCTGAAGGCCGCGGGTGCGCCCGAAATAATCTAACATCAATTTGAAAAACTTGCCATGTTAGGCGGTCTGCGACCAGGGCTACGTGCCCGACAGCCCGAAGCGCCGCCTGGAGGAGGCGCGGCTGGCCATGGTGAAGGCGCATAAGGAGATTACATATGATAAGACATATCAATATGTTTGCGTCAATATGTGCATCGATCGGCGTGTATACCAACGCTTGTAAAGTATTGCCCCCCAGGGGCTGACGGGAGCGAAGACGAAGCTGGAACCCATGGCAGAGAACATGTAAGAGGCAGCGGGGTTTGTGAGCAAGCTGCAGGCAATGCAGCCTGGGCTGAAGGACGCGCTGGGCTATCGCAGGGGAGGGGGGGGGGAGAGACCGGAAGAACGGATGGGGAGGGCGCCAAAGGAGGGAGATTGAGAGGGAAGGCTTCCAACATTAATCCCGCGCCTTCCTGTGCCAGGAGGGCCGCAGAGAGCGAAGAGGGGAGACAGTGGGGGGAGGATGGGGTAGACATAAAGAACGAGAGCGACAGGAGAGAGGGAAAGAGAGAGAGGAGCGAGAGAGAGAGAGAGAGAGAGAGAGGAGAGAGAGAGAGAGAAGAGAAAGAGAGAGATCGAAAGGATAGCGAGCACGTGCTGGGCAAGGCCCAGACCAACGCAGTGGGCGCCGACAACAACCCTTTGACGCAGGAGGCCGTCTCGACCACGTTGCGCGAGTCGGCGGGGAAGCTGAAGCGTTTCTTCGAGGCGCGACTCGCAATTTGTAATACAAACTCCCTTGAATCATGGTTGGCTGCGCGCGGGCCCCTCGCCCTGTCTGGGGAAGGGGGTTTGAAGAGGTGTCGCTGACCTTCCTGCGACAGGAGGGCCTTGGGGAGTTCGCGCCAGGCAGCCTTCCATCCCAATTTGATTGCTGTCATCGGGGTGCGCACCTCTCTTGCGCACCGCCCGAAGGCGAAGGCAGTGGCCCAGGCGTGCGTCTCCAAGAAGAAGGGGAAGTGAGAGCGCCATCTCCCCTGACCGCGAAGCCCACCGATTGGTGGTAGAGCAGGCGGCCTGCCCCCATGGAGTTCGCATAGATGCGCTGGCGGCATCCTGGCAGGAGCGTGGAGTTCCGCGCGCTCGGCGTCTGCTAAAAAGCGCGCGCTGGCAAGGGCGTGGCAGGAGCGGCTTGCGGAAGCTTCCTGCCAGAGGAGGACGGCGACGACGACGACGAGGAGGGGGGCGAGGGCGAGGACGAGGAGGACGAGGACGAGGGCGAGGGCGACGACGAGGAGGAGGACGAGGACGACGACGACGACTTGACGAGGACGAGGACGAGGAGGAGGAGGACGAGGGCGACGACGACGACGACTTGACATCCATATGTGCGTGGCCATATCGGTTCTAGCAGGTGAAATAATTTTGCCATTTTCTCTGCTGGGTAGACATGGGGAAAGGTGGCAAGGGGAGGGCCGCGCCCGAGGTGAATCTTGCCAAAGGCCATGGGAAGGGTTGGCAGCCCTCACCTCAGACTCAACCGAGCAAGCTGATACGATATATGTTGCGCGAGTGGGCATGGGGGAGAATGTCGCCACGCCAATTGCAAACGATAGCATCCCTAGTTATGGGCGATTTCCCTGAGTTCAAACATAAAGATGATATCCCAGACGTGCGCCGCATCGCGGGCATAAGGGGCCGATGGCTCTATCCCTGGCAACATGCATCGAGATCTGACGAACCAGTTGGCCCAGCAGAAACTCCCCGACCCATATGAAATGACGTTGCGCTGCGCCGCAGGTACTGCGGGAGTCTTTCGCCCGCTGAAAGTTACAATGCTGTTACCCCACAAACTCTTCGCGGCCAGGTTTAAATCTTACAGCGAGTTCTTCCGCAGGTGCGTCTGCAGTGGAAGCGATGAATTGGGGAAGTTTTGGGACGACATGACATGCCACCCCGTGTTGCATGGTAACGTTGTGCTCGACGTAGACAACTACAAAAACAAGGTCGTCCCTCTGGGGTTGCATGGAGACGGTGTCCCTGCGAAAGGATTCGGCAAAAGCTGCAGCGAATCAACGTCGTGCTATTCATTTAATTCAATCGTGGCGCCAGGCGGGAACACTTTAGAAAATAACTTCGTTCTCTTCATGGTTTTTGAGCATTTGATTAATAGGACAGGGGCATGTCGCACAATGGTTTCTGGGAAATGATGAAGTGGAACTTTACGGTGCTATTCAACGGAAAGTGGCCCACCGAAGACCCCTATGGCAACAACATCCTTTCGGCGCAAGCTGGCATTGACTTGGCAGGGGGATTCCGCGGTATGATCTTTACAGTGAAGAGCGACTGGGAATATCTGAACAAGGATTGGGGAATCCACAAATGGGGAGGTGGGAGAGGAGGGGCGGCACCTGCGAGAGGAGGGGGAGGAGAGCAGAAGGAGGAGGCCGAGGAGGAGGAGGAGGGGTGGAGGAACATGCGTAATTCGGAGTATGCGGAAGGAGGGGGCGGAGGCTTGTGATGGAAATTTGAATGGCTCGCCTTCGTGAGAGACGTGGGCGGGCCGAGGCATGGGGGGGAGGGGAGGGGGGGGGGAACGATGCAAGTATTCATGGCCCGCAGGAGTGTGGATTGCCGAATGCAGGGTGCAACTCGCCATGCTTCAAGTGCACTGCCAACGTGACCGATAAAAAGTGGAGTGACCACAGACAGCACGCAGCGCTATGGTTACATCATATATGGGACGCTGCTTCATGGCTTGTTGCGCACCCTGTTCACCATGCAATCTTTGATATTCCAGGGGTAGATATATGGTCAGTTATGTATGACCTCATGCATGTAAAGCACATGGGTACATATCAGTACTTCAATGGTTCAATTATTTGGCTTCTCGTGTACAGGATTATCCCAGGCACGGCTGCTGAAAATTTACACAAGGCCATGCTGCGCGCCAAAGATTTCTGGAAACGGAACGGCATATCTGAGCACTATGGTAATGTGAAGCTGAGCGCGTGGCACAACCCAGACAAGCCCGATGAACATTCCCCAAAGTTGAAGTGCACGCTGCAGAAGTGAAGAGCATGACAACGGCGCTCTGTTATATATGGCCTTTCTATGCGGACATGAGCGTTACGGTCAACAGGCAGATAGGGGTGGCCTTGCGCAAAAGCGCGCGGTTGGATGCTATTATGACGGAGAACACGCGCGAGTACAAACTGTCTCCAGAGGCAGCCGCGGAATGGCAACAGTGCGCGTTCATGTATTTAGCGTGCCAAACAGCCGCGGCGAAACATTTCAATGGATTGGGAGATCTGCTGTTCGATGTAACGCCGAAGTCGCATGGTTGATGCCATCTCGGCCATGATTGCGTTCACTTGAATCCGCGGCGCGGGTGGTGCTACGCAGGGGAACGCATGATGCACACCATGCGCACTGTGGGGAGCTCGTGCTGCCGAGGGTGTAAAGCGGACGCGGTATCTCGCAAGATCAATGTGACATATAATAAAAGGGATGCATTTGCAGATGTCGTCGCACATGTGTTCGGAGTAGCGCGCTTGATGGTTCAAGGAAGAAATATATCAATCGACGTCCACTTGTCACCACTGCTCATGCGATGGGGTGTGTATATATAACATCATTGACACGTAAATGTTGTTGATGAGTATGCCCAAAACGCGTAGTTAAAATTTAAGTTTGGGCGCTAAAATTTAACTATTTGGTTAGGTTATCAATTAACTATTTAATTAAAATAATTTAAACTATATAGTTAAGTTAAAAAAAACTGAATTTAGAAGAATTAGTTGAAGTTTAACTACAAGTAAACATTTAACTATATTTATACTTTTAACTATGCGGATGTTAAGGGGGGGGTCGGGTTCGGATTCCCGAAAAAAGAACCCGAGTTAGCCCTGACCCGAATTACCCCTGATGATGTGGGGCTCTGAGGGAGCCTGGTTTAGTGATCTGTACTGGCGGCGCCCCCCCGCCCCGTTCGTCCACGAACCGGAACTGCCGTCAGCCGAAAAGACACTAGCTATGGCAAGCCTGGTTCAGTGATTCTGGCCAATTCAGGGGCTCCGGGGCCCTACCACTAACCGGGTCCCCTTACCCGGGGTCCTGGCCATACCCGACAAAGGCGCCGTCGTCGTCGTCGTCTTCGTCGTCGTCGTCGTCGTCGTCGTCGTCAGCGGCGCCGTCGTCAGCGGCGCAGTCCTCGGCGGTGCCGGCGCCGGCACAGGCGGCGTCGGCGCCGGCGCCGTCCACTTCGCCGTCGTCAACTCAGACGGCTTCGGCGGCGTCGGCGTCGGCGGCGGCGTCGGCGTCGCGTTCGGCGGCAACGTCGCCGCTGCCCCTCCGCGGGGCGCGGGGGGCGCGCTCGGGCGCGGAGGCGGCGGCGGCGGCGGCGCCTTGGAGCTCTGCCGCAGGGCGGCGGCACCTGATGCGCGGGGGGCTGCGGCCCCCAGACTGTGGCGAAAGCAGCTCGGAATGGGAGGCGGCGGAGATGCACAGGGCGCTGCGGGCCCTTCCAGGGCGCTCAGGCAGGAAGGCTCTGAAAGCGCCCTGGGACGCCCTTGAGCGATCTACCGCCATCCCAGGACTGCCTGCCCTGATGCTCCATGGACCCCCCGACACCGTGCTTCGCGTGCTCGCACCTCGCGTCTACCGCTGGTGCAGCCATTCTGCCTCGCCGCCGACGAGAAAGCGCTTGCACAACGCGGACCTCTGGAGGTCTCGACCCCTTTCCCAGGGCGCCGTATTCTTATCTGCGGCTTGAAGGCCCCCAGGGCCCGTTGAGGGACCCCAGAAGCCCAAACACTGCACGACAACTTCCGTCGCTTCTTGGCCCGTTGAGGGAACCAAGAAGCCCGAACACTGCAAGACAACTTCCGTCGCTTCGTTGGTTTCACGACGCGAGGGAGACTGGACTCGAGGCGAGAGCATCGAACCCCCCCCCCAGGACCTGTCCAGGGGCGCCGTCCTGGCCAGAGTCGAGGCGAAGACAGCCAGTGGCGACGAGGAGCCACCCAGAGGCCCCCCAAAACAGGGGCGGACAGCTTCCCCAGAGCCTCCGCTCCCGAAGCTTGCTTGACCCTCGGGCCTCCCTACTCGGGGGGGGGGGGCGGGGCTTTCTGCCCGCGCGCCACCTCCAGGGCTGAAACTAAACGGTGTTTTTCTTTTCCGTTTTGTTCTCGTTTTCCCTCGTTTTGTCTTCAATCCGCCTTCACCGCAAAACGACATCGAAACGAAAACGGCCCACGAAATCGCCGAAACACCGTTTAGGTCCAGCCCTGGCCAACTCCTGCCTCGCGCCAACGCCAACCTCTCTCCCTTCATGCGGGGCGGGTGGGAGCGGGCCGAAGGGGCCCTGCAAACGATCTGAGGTCGCGCAGCCCCAGCCCTCGCAATGCCATCTCCCGATGCAACTTGGCAAGGATGGCACAATCGCCACCATCGCGAGCGGGCGGTGAAGGTGCTCGGTGATCTCCGCGTGGCAGGTTCGCGTGGTGATCTCTCTTGCGCTGGTTTCTGATACCGCGTGGACCGTTCAACCTTGAGCGATCGCGTTTTTCCGACAGCACAAATGTCGGCATCGGCTAATTCTGGGCCACTGGCGGCGTTCAACCTGCAACGCAGGCGCTGGTGTCACCGCCGCGTCGAGACGACGCGGACCCGCCGTTCCGCTGCCCTCGCAGTCGGACACCGAAACGCGGTCCGAGTCATACGCGATCACGTGGAGTTACGTTCCGCGTGGGGCAGTCGCGCAAGGCTACCCTATATCCACAAGTACGCGCGACACCACCCTGCAATTCTCCATACGCACGTCGCGATCGAGGACTCCGAGATCGTCGCTGGCCCGGCGCTCCCGCGCCATCGACCTGTGGCAGGCTCGAGGACTCGAGGAGCCCTCCCAGGTCCAGGGGGCTACCGAAGGAGGAGCGCGCCTGAATGCACTGCTCCTGACCCAAACCCCCGACGTCGTGATCTTTTCACCACGTCGACCCCCAAAGGTCTGGACCCATTCCCCGGGACCGGTTTTTCATCCTGAATCGTTTTTGTTGACGGTCCCCAGGCCTGGTAAGGGCCCCTGGAGGCCGAAACTAGTGACAAACTTCCGGTCGTGGTTTTCTCACCACTCGAGGGGGTTTGGGGAGGGAGGGGAGACCTCGGACGAGAGGGGCGCACTGCAACATTAGTGCTGCGTGACGGGTCCGCTCGGTCCTTCTGCTCACGCTCCTGCCTCTGCCGCCGACAGCGGCCACGGTGGAGCCCAAGTCGGCTCTGAAAGGGGCCCTGAGAGGGTCAGCCCACTGCGAGGACTCGTGCGCCTCCCTGAGCCGGGCTCCTGCTGCGAAGCCAGCCCGAAGGTTATGCTGTTCCCATCGTACTGAAGCACCACATCCCAGAAATATTTCCGAGCACCCAGAAAAGTGTCGAAACAGTGTCGAACCAGTGTCGGACGAAGGTCTCCCAGGGCCCGACACGTGAAAACCCATGAATTTCGGTACTTCCTTGGTGCTCGAAAATTGCCTCCCTGAGCCGGGCTCCTGCTGCGAAGCCAGCCCGAAGGATCCGACCCGGAAAGAAGCGGCGATCACCGGTGGCGAACGGCAACCGACGGAGGGCGAAGGACGAGGGACGAACGGCGCACAACGAGCGGTGACGACGCCGAACGACGAACGGCGACCGGAGGTAGAGGCGAAGGCTACGGTCCCCATCCCTTCGGTCGGGAGGCCCTGCTGGCCGACGGCAGACGCTGAACGACGACAACCGACGACGACGGCCTCCGACCAAGAGCCGCAGAGCGAGGGACGACGACCAAGGACGACGACGAGGACGGCGGACGACGACGACCGACGACGCCCGACGGAGGACGACGAACGACGGGGACTCGGCACAACGCAAGACAGTCAACGACCGTTGGAAGAAACGACGACTAGGACGAAGGGCAACGAAAGACGACGGGCGGCGACCCACGAGCGGCAACGCACGACGGCGAGGGCGACGGGCGACGGAGAAGGCGCTCGCCTGGGCGCCCGCTGCCGAGGAAGGCCGCGGACGACTTGGATTGCATCGAGTCGCTCGGGGCGACCTGGGATGGCGAGAGGTCGTGCTGCCGATGCCGCTGCTGCTCCTCCTCCGACCACCCTCCCTCCTTCCTCCCTCCCCCCTTGCTTTTGACCCGCGTTCCGCGGCCCCCGATCTCCCCCTCCCTGCCCCTCGCCGGCATCCTCCCCGCTCCTGGCGCGTGACCATCGCTCCTCGCCATTGCCCTCCTCTTCATCAAGCTTGCACCCATCAACTATCCCCTCCTCCCGCTTCCACATGTACATACCCTTCCCACAGAATGGCGGGTAACTCCTGTTTCGGGCTGCTAAGCAGACAGCCGCATGCAGGCTGCGCTCGCAGGACAAGCTCTAAGACAGATGGTGACATGTAATTCGTGCAGAAACGGCCCATTAATCACGTCGGAAACATTTAACGCACTTGAAGCTGCGACCATTGAGGTCGGCAACATGCTGCTTAGAACGTGGGAGCCAGCATGGGAGGCCCAAGACAAGCTGCAGGGGCATTGGCGCCGACAAAATGCACCTGCACACTACTCCACTCTAGAGAACTTGCAAGCTAGGAGCCCGAAGACGCCTGAAGACGCCGCGAGGAGCGTCTGGAATCCAAGACGACCCCAACATATTCTAAGAGGCCGCTAAGACGCTTCGGCGACAGATTTTGAGGCTCTGTGACACCTCCGACGACAATGGACAATGATGAAGGTGACAAAGTACACGGACGACTACGACGAAGGCGGGGGCGCAACAGCGAACACCGACGACGGACGGCGATCCAAGACGATGACGACGACAACGACAACGACGACGACGGACAACGGACTATGGACGACGGCGGACGACAACGACGGCGGCACGACGACGACAGACGACGACGCCAGCAACGGATGACGACGGAGACAAAGACTCACTAATCAAGTCGCCGCCGCCACCGTCGCAGCACTCGCTGGGTCGTCGCGCGGTACCCCTCTTTCGTCACCGCCGACGCCGAGCGGCTCCGCCGTCGCCGCCGCCGCCGTCGTCGTCGTCGGCCGTGCGCCGCCGCCGCAGCCACCGCCGCCGCAGTCGTCGTCGTCGTCGTCGTCGTCGTCGTCGTCGTCGTCGTCGTCGTCGTCGTCGCCGTCGTCGTCGTCGTCGTCGTCGTCGTCGTCATCGCCGTCGTCGTCGTCGTCGTCGTCGTCGTCCTCGTCGTCGTCGTCGTCGGCGGCACCCGCCGGCGGCGCCGCGCCTGCGAGTCGTAGGCGCCCGGGCCAGGGACCCCGCGCCCGGGCCGCGGCAGGCACGGCGTGGAGCGCGCGCCGAAGCGCACGCTGCGGGAGGCGAAGCCGCCCATGCCGCGCTGGGTCGCCGCTGTCTTTCTCTGCGGGGGCCCAGGGGCGCACACACACACACACACACACAAAATGCACACGAATACCCGTACGTCCAATAGTTCTTTCCCTACTTTCGGGGTTCCTCGTCTTCCCCCCCCCCCCCTTCCCTACTTTCGGGGCTCCTCGTTTTCCCATTGCAGGGGCCCGGGGGCGCACACGCAATTTGTTTTTAATTCGCGGGTCGAGAGCGCACCTTTGCTGGTCGAAGCTGAGCGGGCTGCGCGAAGCTTGAATTCACAAAGAAAGGGGGATAGAAGGAGAGGCCTCACGGCAAGGCCAGGAGGAGGCAAAGCCCCGGGATCAGGCGGTGCCGAAGACGACCTGCTTGCAAAGGAATGCCTTGTACAGGAACCCGGCGGCGAAGTACCGGAAGAAGCAACATACTGTGGTTGGTGGTGCCGTCAACGGCTCATCATGTACACCTAGGGACGCGCACACAAATACATACAAATACCAATACGCCCAGTAGTTTTCCCTATTTTCGGGGTTGCTCGTCTTCCCCCCCCCCACTTCCCACAGTTTCCCAGATTTTCCTTGGATCGACAATGAATTGCGTCTGTGTGTTTTTTCCTGCATGAATTTGTTTCATTGCTGAGAAGTCAGGAGCTCTTATCCGCCCTCCGTCGCTCCTGCTGCAGGGCTCCACGAGGGGCCCGGCGGCCAAAACCTGAAGAACACACCCCGACAGGGGCAGAGGCAGAAGGCTGGGCCGAGGGCCAAATGTATGAATTTCATCGCTCTGGGCGCTGCTGCATTGCGGGCCCTTTCCAGGCATGTCTCAGTCGTCATCCTACACTGCAGATGCGGAGAGGGAATAGGACGTTGAGAAGTGGATTGGCAGAGGCAAAGAGCGAGAGACAAAGAACGAAAGAGACACAGAGAGAGAGAGAGACACAGAAAGAGACACAGAGAGAGAGAAAGAGACACAGAGAGAGAGCGAAAACACGTCACGGAAAGAGACACAGAGAGAGAGAGAGAGAGAAAAAAAAAAAAAGTACGAGTGAGAGAGAATCAGCGTGTGAGAGAAAAGGATTCAGAGGCGCAGCGAGGGAACATTGAACTATGGTCCTATGATAACGCGCACGCGATCTGAATGGCACAGAGCAGTCGGAAATGCGCAGGTATCCACCACTCACGTTCAACTGCTGCTGCTTGTGCTTCTGCTGCTTGTGGGTCCCCGTGAGTCGTCGCCCTCATCTTTTCTGCACCTCTTTGTGCATCCCGCGACCTCCCCACCCCTTCCCCAGACCTCCGACGTCCTGACTTATTTTGCGACGTGAATCCCCGGAACCCTCGACCCGATCCTTGGAATCGGCATCTGGCCGCGGATCGCTTCTCCCTGTCGTGCATCCCGGTGCCTCGCAAACCCCTCCTCGGACATCCTCCTGATGTTGTTCATGAGTATCGTTTAACCGATCCCCATCCCCAGCGGCATGGCCTGGGCCCCACTGGCCGATTTACCCCCCTAGATGGGAATGTAGGTCGTTCCCTTCGGATTTCGAGGGGTGTAACCCGAACTGGGGTGGTAATTTGGTGGGGGTCTCGAAGGGGATGGAATGGGGATGGGGGTTAGTCAAACGATGCCAAGTTCAGAAGCCTGGCCCGCAAAAGCCCTTGACGCTTCCCCCGGGGCACGGGCTTCCGGCCGCGCGTCGTGGGCTGGTGGCTCGTGCACTCCGCTGCCTCCCAGCCCTCTCCCCGGAACTACGGTCGGACCTAGGACAGAAGAACATCCCTCAAGAACTTGAGACCCTCCGCCAGCCCAACCACACAGAACATCCAAGGGTACCCTCCCCAGGATGCACAAGAGCATCCAACAAACACGAAGAACACTAGGGTACCCTCCCCGAACCGACCTCGATCTTATACCTTGGTTCGGCTGTACGGTCAACCCGCACAGGAAGGATACGCGGTGAGGATGCGAGGGCCTCAAGAGGCCCACGAGGCTGGCCAGCGAAAGTCGCTCAGGATGGGCCGAAGGGGCAAGGATGCGAGGCTGGCCATCGCTCGGACGTCCATTCCCCGTGTTTTTGTTTCGGTTTCGTGCGTCTTTTTTTCGCCAGATGATCAAGGATGCTCCTCGATGGTCCTCGCCGAAGGAAAAATGCACACGTCCGAGCGATGCCAAGAAGGGTACCCTTGGGATGGTTGCCCATCCTTCCTATGCGGGTTGACTGTGCTGCAGCTTGGCTCTGTTCGCATCGTGCGCCCCCAGAGGGCTCTCGACTCTGCCCCTGGGATCGCTTTCTAGCCTGAAAGCCGCACAGACCCGGGGCCTCCCTGGCCATCGCTCGGACGTCCATTCCCTGTGTTTTTGTTCGGTTTCGTGCTGTTTTTTTCGCCAGCTGATCAAGGATGCTCCTCTATGGTCCTCGCAGAAAGAAAAATGCACACGTCCGAGCGATGCCAAGCTCCGGGCCCCAAGGCGCCGAAACAATGGACAAACTGACGCCCGTCGTGTTCTGCCCGCGGCGCCTACAAAACCGGGTATCACCATTCGAGTCGAGAGGTGGACTTTTCGAAGTCTGCGCCCGCTGGACCTCTTCCTTGAGCTGTTGGCAACGACGGCGCTAAGGATTCTTAGAGGGGGAGGAGCGGGAGAACGCGTCACAGAACTTGAGCACCCTCGTCGGAAACCGCATGTTCCACAAACTCCCCGCCTCTCAAAATCGGCCCTCAGATCGGTCCTGGAGCTCGCTCGGGCCAAAGCCTCAGGGCGAATCTGGCCGCGGCCAGAGATTCTTGTCCTGGAGGCTCAGGAGCCGCAAGGGGCACGCCAGAGCCTCCTGCTCCTCCTGCTCCTCCTCCTCCTCCTCCTCCTCCTGCTCCTCCTCCTCCTCCTCCTCCTCCTGCTCCTCCTCCTCCTCCTGCTCTTCCTCCTCCTCCTCGACCTCCTCTTCCTCCTCCTCCTGTTCTCCCATGGCCCATGGTGGCCCCAGATGGAGGCGAGGCGGGCGCGCGATGGGGGTCCGGCGGGACTGGCCCTACGAGGGCGGCGCGGGGGGGCTGGGGCCCTCGGGAGCAGCGCTGTGAGCAGGAGTCGGAGTCGCTGTCGCCGTCCGTGTAGTCATGGACCAACCGGTCGAATGAGCGGATCGGCGTCAGCCACGCAGCAGCTACAAGGACAATCACCTTTTCCACCGGGCGCAGCGGCGCCAATATCCTCATCAGTACAAGAAAAGAAGCACTGGCTGGCCGCCTTGAGCACAGGCGGCAACGGAACGGAGAGGCTCGAGGGGGACGCTGCTTATACACTTTGACTCTGGCACCATCTCCAACTCGCAAGTATCGTCGGAGAAGCACCATGCTCGCAGACGTGATACCAGAGCGGTCGTCCACGAGCAATCACAGCATCACCCCAAAATCAACTCAGTAGTCCAGGCTGGACCACACAGACTTCAGCCGACCTCGAAGAGGCAAGCTGACAAGCCTACAAAGGCAACAGCGCACTGCAGCACTCACCGTGAAGCCCACCGCACATGTGTCCACGCGGCTAGGCTCACAAAGATAATTATGACAAAAAATCTCTCATCAACAACGCACAGTGGTAAATGAAGCAGCAGACGAAACATTCGGCCAGATATGAACCTGGTCCTTGATCATCATCCGCCACTGTCCAGTGCCGAACGCATCAACAATAGCACCTCGAGCAACTGCCCCCTTGGTAAGAGCATCACACAACATATCTCTCGTATCACAGCGCAACAATCCAGTCAACGAGCCACAGTCAAGTCGATCACGCATGGCTCGTACCGCATACAGTTGACTGCGATCGTTGGGCATAGCAATCTCCTCAGCAGTGATGGCAGCAAACACGGCGTGAGCGTCACCAACTAAGTACAGACTCATATCTATCTTATTCGAGTTCACCGCATCATGCAACTCCTTCGCACCACGGGACCCCGTCAGAACTTGATGCCAGAAACCGCGGTGCAGCATGCCGAGCTCACAAGCCTCTAACTGGTTGGTCAACTCGGCCCCAAACGTACTGCGAGTGACTCTCGGCTGCTTCCGACTATAGTAATCAATGACATGCATTAGTCCACCAGGAATACCATCTCGAAGCTCAATGAGTACTAAGATGGCAGCACGCACAGCTAGACAGTCAGCATCATCAGCACGATAAGCAGAGTCTGCTATCACACATAGACACAGAGGCGGTTCCAACCGCGCATACTTGATGCTGAAAGGCTTCCTCTTGATCCACTTCAGAAGAGTATTGAGACCTTTGATATCACCAACCGTGACTTTCTGACTGTGCCTCTGAAAACGACCGACGAATACAGCGATATCAGCACGCGTGAGGGTGAGCCACGCTACTCCTCCAAGAAGACTCCAGTACAGGCCCTGCAGCGTACAATCCACCAATTCTTCATCCGACTTGCCAGTAAGTAACGCGCTGCTGATCGGACGAAGTTGGGAGACGTAGTGATTCTGGTCAATCGTGATGGCTTTGCTCACCTCATCCTGAGAATGTTGAATGCCTACACATTCGAACGGAGCCAGATTCACCGTCACGTCTTCGTACTTCTCACGAAATTTAGCGAATATCCACTCACGCATCTCATCACTGCAAGCACCTTTCAAGTCATCCACATGCGTACCAAGAACTGCGACCAGCAATGCCTTGTCAAACATCAACCACAACTGCCGGTCAGCTTCGGTTGGGAAGAAACCCAACTCCCTGAGCGTGTCCGACAAATCCACTTGCCAGGCCCACGGGGCGTCATTCGTACCGAAACCTGGCTTCTTCATGTTCAGGGTTTCCGTAACCTCATTGAAGTCCTCGAAACCCTCAATCTGCTTCAGCAGAGCTGCACCATCAGGGGGAATATCAAACTGCAAGCTCCTCATCTTGAAACCGAACCTTTCAGCCAGCACCTCGAACGTCTTGCCACGCAAGAACGCCATCGAAACGTCGAGCGACCATAGAGTCCAGCCATGCTGAGCCGCGATGGAGCATATC